TATAACCAATATTTTCCATCTTAACCATTTTTTTTTTCCTGCGCCTGTACCTCGGCGGCCCAGGCGCGGGCACTACCGCCCGCCCCTAGGGCCCCCGAGCCTGCTCTACCCCTGCGTTCTGGCCGCCGGGAGCAGAGGGCTCCGGGCGGGCAAAGCTCGAGGGGACGAGCCCACCCCGGCCGCCCCCCGCGGGCCCACCGTGCGCCCTCCCGCGCGCAGGGCCGCAGGCGAGCGACACTCACCGTCCGTGCCGGGGCCGAGCAGAGAGAGCGACGCGCTGCGCGGCCCGCGAAGGTCTAGCTCGCGGGGCGGAGCGGCTAGGGCTTCAGCCAATCGCGGGAGGGCTAGGGCGGGACAGACCCGACCATTGGCTGCTGGCAGCCCTCCACCCGTCCCCGCGCCCTGGCTATTGGTTTAAAGACTAGGCGACGGTGCGCGCAGAGCTGCGTTTTAAGAACCCGGCGCCTCTGGGAGCATCGCCGATAAGTCCAGACCATCAGGCTCTTTCTCAGGCCTTGATCGTCGTGGATGTGATTTTTTACGCCAACGTCCCTTCTTCGGAGATATAGTTTGGGGAGACCTTCTCGGTTACCCCCACTCCACCGCAGAGCCTAGGTTACTACTCTGAGACCGCTGCACCTAGTGGTGCGTCAGAAGCCAGGCCTGGTGATCCGCTGCTGGAAAGCTCTTGGAGTATTTGTGTTTGCCACGAATTGGAACCGACTCAGTGGGAACAACAACAATCATTGTATGGTCGTAGACGGCTAGCCTTTCTTCAGCAGTCTGCTGAGGGGATTCAGACTACCAACCTCGAGAAGTTGTTGTTAGGTGCCACCAAGTGGGTTCCCACAGATAGCGAGCCTCCAGGACTGAATGAAACACCGCGCAGCCCCGTGCCTCCTCACGACCGAGTCCGCTGGGGCAGTGGTGTTTCAGTCCGTCTTGTCGAGGGTCTTCCTCCTTTGCACTGACCTTTACCCTCCCAAGCATGATGGCCTTCACTTGACTTTCACCCATCAGTTTCTTGGTCCCTCCTCCTTCCACCAACTCATGAATGATCTGGGACTCACCTTATCTGTGGGACACGGAAAGTTTTTTTCCCCCCAGGTTGTCCCCCCAAGTATATGCCAAACCTAAGGCTGCTTGCAACACAGGGTAAATGACTGTAGACTTGGAGGTCAACGTTCGCTGCTTAAAGGTTACCTCCCTGAAGGTATCAGCCATCTAGAGCAATCAGACTCTAGTCTGTAGTTTGTCCCCCCTCAGTAGGGCCCACTCCCTGCTGCTGAGGATAGTGGATTGTCTCCCTGAAGGAGATCCCGTCTGTCATCTTGAATCTAGGGTCTGCCCATCTTGTCACATGTGTAGCCTTAGTGCTGCCCCTTCCGATTGCATGTACACCCTTAGCTTGTCCCGCTCCGATTGATGTATGCCTATTGTACAACCTCTGCCCGTTGTGATGTAATCAGGGGGGCTTTCATGTCCCCCAAAGTATATATGCCATGATTGGAAATAAATTCACTCTCTCAGCGTGGAGCTGGCTGCTGAGATCATGGCCATCCTGGAGGTGAGCAATTGCATACCTTATTATTATTCTTTTAAATGTCTTTTTAATTTTACCCCTCAATTACACAACCGCCCCTTGGACCCGTTCGTTCGATTGTGGGGGCTGATACCCCACACTTATCCTCACCGCGCCTCCAACTGGAGAGACAAATCCCCAGCCCCACTACCCTCAGCCCCAACCCAGCCCCTCCCCATCACCCCTGGGTTCCCTCTCTACTGGCCTCCTCAGGCTCACCGGGGCATTCTTCATTTTGTGTCTACTGCGTCTCTCTGGCTTTTGCTCTTATGTACTGTATATCAAATACAGAAATGCCTACCATTTGTCCCCTAGCTCCTAGATACCACACTTCTCGTTCCTCCCCACCTTTCTTCCCTCCCTCTTCCCCCCACCCCCACCCCCTTCTGCCTTCCCACTCTCTTTTGTAGCTAACTTTCAGAAGAGGCCCTGCCTGCACTTGTCTTCAGTGCCGCCTTTCTATGTACTACCCGTCCCGCCCAGGGCTGTGCTCCAGGCTCCCCTTTCACTGCGCTTGCTTCAGGGACAGATTGTCCAACGAACAAGGTAGTGCATGTTTAATTGTGTTTATTTAATAATCCAAAGTAACATTGCTCATTACAGGGGAAACCCAGGTGAAATCCTTCACTACAGAATTATGTAAGTCAACACAATTAAGTCCGTGGGTACCAACCTGGCTTACTGTCAGTCTGTGTGTATCCTGCTTACGGACTAATCCACATGTGGCACAGCTTCTCCCTAAGGTCAACGGTGTGCTGACGGCCACGTTCATTGGGCCGTATTTTACCGGCATTGTGTTTCAGACTGCGGACCACATCTTCCTTCTCCAATGTTCTTTTCCCTTGGTTTGGGGCCTTTATTATTTTTTCTCATCGTTCTTTGTTAGTCTTCAGAAAGGACTTCTGTTTCCTACCCTTCCGGTGTTCTTATCTCCTCTCCTCTTGAGCTTTCTTCCCAATCCCTTCTTCCATGTATTGTATTCAAAACTCAAACGCACTGTCATCGAGTTGATTCCGACTCATCGCTATGGTTCATAGTTGATAATGTACAGGGCAGGGGCCTTAGAGGACAGAGTAGAACTGCCCCTGTGGGCTTCTCTTTATGGGAGTAGAAAGCCTCATCTCCCCCTGCCCCTCCCAGCCCCGATTTATCATTTTAGTCAACATTTATTGAGGGTAAAATACTGGACATACATTATTTCTGATTCATAAAGCAACCTAGCAAGATAAGTAATACAATACGTATCGTCTGGTTCACTTATAAACCTAGGACACTGCATTTGAATTGCATTGCTAGTGAAGAGCACTGAAAGGATCACGAACTGTCACAAGGACAAACAAATCTGTCTTGGAAGACGTACAGCTAGGGTGCTCCTGAGAGGCAAGGCTGGTGAGACTGTCTTACACACGTTGGACGTGTTGTCAGGGGAGACTGGTTCCTGGAGAAGGACATCGTGTTTGGTAAAGTGCCGGGGCGGTGTAACAGAGGAAGGCCCTTAAGGAGTTGGGTTGACACCATGGCTGCAACAATGGGCTCAAGCACAGCAACGATGGTCAGGATGACACGGGACCGGGCAGTGTTTCCTTCTGTTGTGCATTGGGCTGTTATAGGTTGGAACCAACTCCATGGCACCTAACGACCAGCATCAAATGACCTGCTCCATCAAATGCTCTATTAGGAATCAATATTTAGTAAATTGCCTATCCTACTTCATTTGGCTTCTTTACTGCTGAAAAAAATGGTATAATTATCTATAAAAAAAGTTATTTACAATTCATAACATAATTGTGCCTGCTGAGCCTTGATTTCTGAAGCTTAGCTACAGAAGGTGCCTGCATAGGGTAATCGAGTAAAGTCTTGGAGAAGGTGCACACGAGAATGGAGGTCTTATTTATCCCGGGAGAACCTAGTTCCTAAATGTTCCCTGCCCACCCCCCCCCACCCCCCCAACTATCATGATCCAAATTCTACCTTACAAATCTGGCTAGACCAGAGGGTGTGCACTGGTACAGATGGGAACAGGAAACACAGGGAATCCAGGACAGATGATCCCTTTAGGACAAGTGGCGAAAGTGGCCATACCAGGAGGGTGTAGGGAAGGTGAGGGAGAAAGGAGGAACCGATTACAGGGATCTACATATAACCTCCTCCCTGGGGGACGGACAATAGAAAAGTGGGTGAAGGGAGACATTGGACAGTGTAAGAAATGACAAAATAATAATTTATAAATTATCAAGGGTTCATGAGGGAGGGGGGTTGGAGAGGGAGGGGGGTAAATGAGCTGATGCCAGTGGCTTATGTGGAGAGCAAATATTTTGAGAATGATGAGGGTAACGAATGTATAAATATGCTTTACACAATTGACGTATGTATAGATTGAGATAAGAGTTGTATGAGCCCCAATAAAATGTTTTTTTTTTTAAAAAAAGAAAAAACCAAGTGATGGTTTGACAGTTGGCAAAGGACAGAGCTGGGATTGGAATTTAGATTCCCAGTGTCTTTCCAGTCCAAGATGTATGAGTTTAGTCACTACTCAGGCTGCTAATATTGGCTCACCATGCTGTAGCTGAGGAGCTCTGGTAGTGCAATGGTTAAGCACCCAGCTGCTAAGAGAAAAGTTGGCAGTTCAAACCCATCAAATGCTCTGTAGCCAAGTGATCGGATACACGGAAGTCTGCGTCTAGAAGATTATGATTTTGAAAACCCTATGGGGCAGTCCCACTGTGTTCTGTAGGGGACAATGAGTCAGAATCAACTTGACAGCACTGGGAGCCCCTTTTCTAACTCTGCCTATTCTATTCATGCCTCTTTCCCGCCCGCTTCCATTCCAGGACACTTACCTGCACATAAAATGTCCCCAAGCTATGTTTGCCTGGTAAAACATGTGTGCTTGTCACAGTATGGCTGAGTCAGGTAAGGGATGAAGGGATGGTGATTATGAAATGAAGTGAAAAAGATAGATAATCCTCAGGAACTGTAGTTTAGTGTTGGGATGTGTGGTTGATGAATTATGCCCCCTAAACAATATGCTGAAGTCCTAATCTCTCTACCGGAGTCCTAGTGGACTAATGGTTCCTCATTGGGCTGCTAACCCTAAGGTCAGCAGTTCGAAACCACCAACCACTCCAAGGGAGGAAGATGAGGCTTTCTATTCCCATAGTTACAGTCTCAGAAACCCACGGGGCAGTTCTACCATGTCCTATAGGG